CTATGGATAGAGGAATTAACCTCCAGAGGGGTGACACAAATCCAAGCATATGTATAATGGCACCTAAAAGAATTTCTAACTTTGAGAGTCATTAGCTCATTACCTATGTGAAGTACAGCTTCTTCAAGGGCATTAACTTTAGTGTCTAACTTTCTATCTATAAGCTCCTGAGTAGCTAAAGCTAAAGAAACACTTTTTGACAGCTGATCTACATGATGTGCAGTATGTATGTCTTGTACAAGTGCCGTAGTGGAGGCAGTAAAGGAGCCTATAATAGCTATTAAAGCAGTAATTCCTAGAATGAGCTCTGCAACTATATGTTTAGATCTGACTAAAGAATTAGTAACTGTCTTAAGAACTTGTAACCCTGGGTCTTCATACCAAGGGGTATCTAATTTAACCGGTATGAGCAAATAGGGATGTTGTTGTACAATAAGCAATGCTATGAGATTTGTGGTAGGAGATACACAGGAACTGATAACACATTTTGTACATGAGACATTAAACAGGGAATTATTATGGATTATACTAAAAATGCTATGAGGAATAGCCATAAGAAAAACATAAGGTGCTGCAACACAGGCTTCAACAGAATACAAATTAGGTTTTCCGGAAGGGGGACGATAAAAGGTGACGGGAGTGATGGCAAGAACAGCTGTCCATAGGTGAGGCTGAACATAGGAGCGATTAAAATTAACTGATAATATGGGAGGAACCCATCCATTAACATGCCATCGATTGACAGGTAGATTATGAGGCACATAATTATTTTTCCATAAGTAATTAGCAATAATTGACAGAAAATTGTAAGAATCCTGCATAGGTTGAGGTATAGACCAATCAAAAATATTGAGAGGATATTGGTTAAGAGGGAAAGCAACAGCTTGAGAATACAAACAAGGAATCCAGACTGGAAAATCAACATCATCGTTAATAAGTGGCCAATAACTTTTGTTCTATTCTGACATTTTTAAACAATTTTGAAACTTAGGAGGACGCATGGCGAGATTAGAAGGAGCAGAGGGGTCAGGGCCTCCAGGGGCACGAAAGGTGAGGGGCCATATCTTTCTGCGGTGGCCTTTGTCCAGAAGAGGGGTTATAGGAGAGGATGTGAGGACAGTTTTAAATGAAGTGGGAAGGTAACCAAGGAGGGACACTGAAGAGCTAAATTGAAAACAAATAGGAGGACCACTAGACTGGCCAAATAAAGAAAAATTAGTATTAGATTGGTGAGTTATGAAGGAAGAGGACATTCCACCCAAAATTTCAGTAGCATTATTGAACACTGGAATAGGTTCGTTGTCCCAAGTAATGAGTTGCAAAACTGGCGGTTGAGGAACATATGCCCAATTAACAGTACCTCCTGAAACAGTCGATACCTGACAAGAAATGACAACGAACATGACCAGAAACATTATTACAGGAGTAGGCGGTGATCCTTGTTTGCGAACAATTTCTTTTGTTCCCTTCATGAGTGCTTTTACTTGACCCCAAGCTGGCGGTTTGAGAAGCGTGTGTGGATCTGGTAGAGCGA